TCTGTCTGTCTGGCAAGCGCACGCGCCCTACAGTGAAAATCTCTCCAAAAAAAAAAAAAAAAAAAAAAAAAAAAAAAAAAAAAGCTTGGCTGGCAGTGGCTGGCCCTTGGAGGGCGTAAGCGTCATTAAACCTGCTGCTGATGGTTGTTGGCAACCTGGGAAAGGGCCACGAGGGTTCAGATGATCCCAGCTCTGTTGTAATCCCGTGGGTAGAACACAGGCAATGACCCCAGGCTTTCCTACTCCTGGCAGTGAGGCAGAAGGTAGAGCATTTACAGACTGCTCCATGAGTCCCCTGCCCTGGGCACAACAAGGTGTGGAAAACCACAATGTGAACAGTTGGGTTCTGTGCCTGTCCCTCACAAGCGTGCCACAGGGGCACCCGCAGGATCTGGGGAGTCTCTGCATCCTCCTGGGGGACCAGAGCTGGTAGAGTCCCTGAGGGTAGGGCATGGTATGAACCTGTGACTCAGTGGCAAGACAGCACGGTAGGCATCAGCTATGAGAGCAGCTCGGATTGAGTCCCCAATGGCTGCCCCATGTCAGTGACCCCCAGGGATGTGCCGCTTCATCCGAGTGTGGGCTGTGTGCAGCAGCTACTGGGGTCTCCAGAAGACACTGCCTGAAGGAGGATGGAAGGAGAAAGCCCCTGTGGAGTGTTTGATGTGAATTTAATGCTGAATTTGGCTGAGTATTGGCCTAAGAACAGCAGCTCTGAGCCTGAAGGGGAGGATGAAGAGTTTTAGCCTTAGTGGGGAAGAGGTCAAGAGCCAGTCAAAAATAAGAGAGGAAGGATGGGTTTCTGGAAAGCCCGACACCTGGCCCTCTGTATCAAAGCTGGAGACCCCATGGAGGGGCACAGGGCAGAGCCAGGGTCTGAGCCTGAAGGCTGCTCCCACGAACCACGATGTTGGCACACTGAGATCTGGCATATCCATTCTTCACGCTGGCTACGTAAAGGAGTGCTCACGAGGCTGGGGGTAGACAGTGTGCCTGTTCCACGGGGATGTCATGAGGGAATCCACATGGGACAGAGAGAATGGAGACGGAATGGGCAGGCGTAGCTGGGCCAGGAGCCAAGGTTGTGCAGAACCTCAGGTTAAGGGCTCAGTTCCACAGAGCTGTCCCCGTTCAGACACCAATGGTGAGTAGTGGGTCACCAGGTGATCTAGGCTTTTTTAATCTGACTTGGCTACAAATTGGGGGCTTCCCATGACTCCTTCCTCAGGTTAGATAATTTGCTACAGCAGCTCCCAGAGCTCAGGGAAACACCCTGACCCTGGCACAGGCCTGCTTGTAAGGAGATAGTTGCTTGTCAGAAGATAAGCCCAAGCACCTCTTACCTGTTTTGAGTTCAGATTTCCACACAGCATGTCTTCTAGAAGCAGGTCTCCAGGAATGAAGTGTGGGCTTGAGTCGAGGGGCTTCTGAGAGCATCCTAACGACCACCCCTTAAAATTACTTTTCAACACACATTTAGTGTCTGTTGAGCTTGTCTTGGGCAGGTTATTCCCATGTCTTTGCCTTGGTTTCCCCGTACAGAAAATGGGGATAGCTAGCCTGACTTTGAGGTTGTGAGGTAAATCGTATGAGACGATGAGCATGAAATGCTCCACACACTCGGGAAGCAGGATTTCTGTTTCTATGATGTGCCTGGATTTGAAAAGCAGAATGCCACACAGACTCCTTTCCTTGCTACCATGCAGGTGACAGGTGTTGCCTCTAGACTACTCATATTGAAAGCGATGGTGACATTCATTAGCTGTGGGCACAGACTCCAGCATGAGGTGGCAGTGCCTGTGCATCAGTAGGACTTGGCACGACCTGGAGGTCCCAGCAGTGCCATGCTCAAGACTTACAGGATGGGCTTGGAGGACCTCCCTTGGGTGGTGGTAGGGAGCACATCTACCCACAGGACAAAGATGTGGGAGCACATGGCACATCAAGGGATACCAGGACAGGCTCAGGCAAGATCCACGTGAGGGTGCAGAGAAAAGACTGAAGAGAGAAAGCCAGAATTAGATCTGGGAATAGGCTATGACCCTGTCTGCAGCTGCCTGCGGAGGGGGCACTCACACAGCACCCCAGTCTCCAGACCCTACAGCGTAGCTGACAGCTCAGAGACGAAGCCTCCAGCATAGCACCTGGCTTGCAGGAGGCATGAGCCGTTCTCGTGTACTGCCAACAATGTCAGTAAAATGAGGCAAGACTATGAGGACACTGGGGGCCAGAACCAAATTCTGGATCAGCCTTGGTTTGATTATGGTGTGGCGTATTCAGTAAGCAGCTGTGGACCGAGTGATGACCAACTGATGGATTGTCAGGCAGGGGGACAAACTGGCAGACTGATGGACAGAAAGACTGATGGACAGAGAGCTGCTAGAGAGATGGATTGATTGATTTCATGAGTGAATGCCCTATGCACCCAGTTATTTTTACCCTTAGGTCTTGGAATTATCTACAAAACTTGATTTCCTTGGTCTGTTCTTGCTCTGTTTTACTATTTTTATTTACCCTTTCTAAAAAACGCTTTACAAAATATAAGTTTATTGCTACTTTTTGGCGAGAAGGAACACAGGTGTTGCCTATAGACTACTCATATTCGAAGCGATGGTGACATTCATTAGCTATAAACCCCCATAGGCCCATCTTGGCAGCTCATGTGCAGGGGACAACTTTTGATGTCAGCATCTAGTTTGGGAGGTGAAGACTTGAGAATAGGAGAGGAGGAGACATTGTACAATTTACCAAGACAAGAGTACATCTGGTACCTGGTACCTAATGCTTTTCCTTTGTGAGAGAGAGAAAGGGAGAGAGAATGAACTGGGCATTTCGGACAGCCATAGTCTGATGTAGAATGATCACCACGTTGCGATCCTCCTGCCGCAGCTTCTTAGTTATCTAGGATTGTAGGGGTATGGTACCATGTCCAGTACGCTCATAGCTTGGGACCTGAACCCAGGCCTCTCACATGGCTTTCACCACCCAAGAGGTGCTGTGGGCCACCCAAGCTGGTTCCTGGCAGGTACTTTTTGCCTCTACTCTAATTCTCTGGCCCTGGTAAACCCTGCTTCTCTCCATTTCTGACTTTAACGTTGGTTGCTATTGCCTAAAGAAATCATCGTCTGTGGAAGGCTGCTCCTTTGCTGAGTAAAGAACATGTGAATTCACATTTAAAAATGAAATATTAGTCATATTTGTATTTTTTTATCAATTATAAAAGTAATGCATATCTGTCATAGACATTTTTGAAAATACAGAAAAGCACAAAGAAAAAGGTAAATACAGGAATTCCCCCCTTGTCTGCTTTCTTTTCAGTTTTAGTTATCCACAACTGCAGTCTAAAAACTATTAAATAAGACATTCCAGAAATAAACAATGAATAAGTCTTAAATTGCATGCCATTCTTGGTAGCATGATGAAATCTTGCTTTGTTCTATCTGGGATTTGAATGCTCTCTTAGTCCAGCTTACCTAGGCTACAGACACTGCCTGCCCCTTAGTCACTCAGTAGCCCCTCCATGATCAGACTGGCTGTCATTGTATTAGAGTGCTTGTGTTCCAGTACCTCTCATTTTACTTGATCATGATCTCAAAGCGTACGAGTAGTGATGCTGGCAATTCTATTACAGCTTATTGTTTTAATTGTCCTATTTTTATTAGTACCTATTGTCATTAATCTCTTACTATGCTTAATTTATAAATTAAACTTTATCAAAAGTATGTATAGTAAAAAACACAGTCTCTGAGATTTGATACAATCTGCAGTTTGAGACATCCACTGAAGGTCTTGGAATATACTCTCTGTGAATAAGAGGAGACTACTATATATCCCACAGTTATACTTCT